TGTGTTTTTAAGTCACCGACGTAGTTGATGTCAGTGTATGTGTATTTGGTGGGGAAACATATTTTGGAGGACTCCTTTGGTAGGTAACAGAGGACAGCAGGGCACTTGGGGCTCTTCTTCCGCCCTGGGCTCTATCAGGGGCTCCTAGGAGACACAGAGAGGGCAGCTAGAAGAGAATGAGAAGTTGTAAAAGCCTGAACTTTTTAAAAAGCACTTAAGCACCTCCTTCTTACAACTCAGCGATCATCCCCATAACCTCTTCCCTTCTCCACTGAGACCACCAGAACCTTGACCAGTAGCTAGGGGTTCCTGGGATTTGGAGACCACGGGGGGTGGGAGTGCCCGACCTAGGGCAGGGCTGACGCCTGCTTGCAGCCCAGCTTAGTTCCCCAGCTCCGGGGCCTCTCGGGCCAGCTCCCCCTCTTCATCTTTGATGTGAAGGCAAATGTGATTCCGGGCGGTCAGTTCCCAGCCCCCCACCAGGCCTCTGTTCCTCATGTGCCCGTATTTCTTTTCTTCTGCGTCTTGGCACCTTCCTTCTGTTCAAAAGTTTTCTGTAAATTTACTCTTCTTTCTTTCTTTTTCTTTTTTATAAATTAATTTGCTTTCAATTTTATCTCGTGGGTGCCTTTTGTGTCCTCTGACCTGTGGCTGTTAGGTAGGGGGTTGGGGGGGGCATCATGCCTGGAGTTCTTCCCTGGGGCTGGAGCTCCGCCGGGTGCGGACGGCACAGCACAGCTGTTGAGACTCCGCACTGGGGCAGGGGCTCTTGCCTGCCCTGAAAATAGCTGTTGAGGGCTTGGAAAGACATCCTCACAACCTGGAGATTTTGCATATTTATCCTTTCAGAAGTAGTGGCTTCATGTCTTCCCTTATTAGGTGGGGAGAAGGCAAGCACCTCACCTACGTCTGTTATTATTGGCCCCAATCCCTGAGCAACAGGCTCAGGCAGTGCTAATCTGGCCTGGCTTTAGTGCCAAGAAAGTCTCCAGGCCTTCTCCATGAAAGGCCTGCAGTGCTTGGGAGGGTGAGGGCTGGGAATAAGGACCTGGAGGGCTGGGCGAGGACTCTGCCTGATGTGCTGGGTTATGAACCTCTGCAGAGGTTCATGAGTTTCCTCATCCCCCAAGGGGTGGCCTTTGTGGCATCAATGAAAGGGGTCAGCATTTCCTGAGTGAGGCAAAGATGGCTCCTACAAGGCCTTTTCCCAGCTTTCCCTAACCCCCTGGCCCACTGACCCCAGACTGTCTCCCCTTCACACTGCTCAGGAAAGAAAGCAGAACCACATTTAGGGCACAGACAGCGAGTTTATTTGATGAATGCTGATGGCAGACATTGTCCAAGAGACACAAGTTGGGGAAAATGCTGTGATGAAAGAACCTAAGGAGCCTTTGGGGCTATGGACAGTATCACACAGGGGAAGGCACAAGGCTCTGGGCACACTGGGAACGTCTTCAGCCATTCAGCACCATGCGGACGAGCTCTGTGGAACAGAGGAAGGTGTGAACCAGGGAACAGGGCCAAGGGGAGGGGTGCACCAGGGGCCAGGAGACCGTAAGACCACAAAGGTGGCACAAGAAGGGACGTGCCTGCAGCCAATCCTGGGATCAGTTTGCAGAGGAGTCACCTTGAGTCTGATCAGTTCTCTGGACCCCCAGCTCCCCTCCCACCAGCTGTTAGTTCCCACCCCACCCTGAGCAGCAAGAACACAGCAGAGGCAGAAAAGTTCTTAACTACACCTATAGCTACTGTCAGCCATTGGCAGGGGAAGACAGAGTTACGGGTTAGGGTACCTCCAAGCTGCCCAGCAGAAGGAAGAAGAGACTGTTCAGCTACAGCAGCACAATGGGGCAGGCAACCCACCCCCCTATGCCAACTGCCACCACTCCGGGGCCAAAGGGTCACCCTAAAGCAAGATGGGGACAGGCTGGTGAGAATTCCCAGGCACCAGCACCTATGGCCCTATAAAGTAAAACCCCAGAACCCATTCTAGGTGAGAAGGAGGTACCACACCCCCAGGTTGTCTTTCTTTTTGAGGAACCCCTTCCCTCCCTTCCCCAGTCAGCTCCATGCAGAAACATGCCAGGAAGTCAGATGGTAGTAGGGTAGGGCAGGGACCAGAGAGCAAAGTTTGGGAAGAAAAACACTGGGGAGGTCAACTAGAGAAGGGGAGGCTGGGATGAGCCGTACCCGCCCCATGGGCCCGTCACCCCGACAGGATATGCCTCACAAACGCTGCAGGAAGGAAGAGACATTAATGGTGAAGACAAGACACACACATGGGGTGAAGGGGTCAGGTGATCAGGACATAGACATTCCATTTATTTTCCTTCCCATTCCTTCCCCACCCTTCACACCACATTGCCCCTTCCTTTCCTGTTACACAGCCCTGGCCTCCCACTCCTGGGCTGGGCTGACAGGGCCCTGCCCTTGCCTCCTGGCACTTTGTGGAGCCCAAGTCCCGTGACAGGGAAAGCCTCAGACTGTACTTGACCTGCCTCACATGGCTGCCTCCTCAGCAAGAGCCCCAATTCATCCCTCACCTTCATAGTTGATACAACCATTGCTATCCTCGTGCCCTGCCACCAGCATCTCTACTTCTTCTTCTGTCATCTTCTCACCTGCAGAGGGAAAGAGCATTTCAGGAACTACGTGACAGGTGAAGTACTGGGTGGAACTTCAGCTCAAAGAACGAGGGTAGAGCCCTGGCTGGTGTAGCTCAGTGGATTGAGCACGGGCCTGTGAAGCAAAGGGTTGCTGGTTCGATTCCCAGTCAGGGCACATGCCTGGGTTGCAGGCTGGGTGCCCAGTAGGGGACATGTGAGAGGCAACCACACATTGATGTTTCCCTCCCACTCTTTCTCCTTCCCATCCCTTCTCTCTAAAAATAAAATAAATATTTTTTTTTTAAAAAAAGAACAACAGTAGATAGAGCCTTACCCAGTGTGACAAGAACATGCCGGATCTCAGCACCCATGACAGTGCCGTTCCCTTCCTTGTCAAACACCCTGAGGCCTTCGACATAGTCCTCATAGGTGCCCTGGTCCTTGTTCTTGGCCACCGTCTGCAGCATGGGCAGGAAGTGCTCAAAGTCCAACACCTTCACGTTCATCTCTGCCATGAAGGAGGCGGAAGTCAAGTCACAAACTCTCAGGCCTGAGGGGATTACAGGGATCCCAACCAAACAGACCACTCCCACTCAGAGCAGAAGAAATGCATGGGATTTGCTAGTTGAGACAAGACCTGCCTGAGTTTGGGGCCTATGAAGATAAGGAAGCTCTCAGCTGAAGATCTGTGGGCCCAGAACCACACTGAGCTGTTCCCAAGGATCCTCACCATCACTCTTGGGGTTCCCCAGGACTTTGAGCACCTCGGCATTGGTGGGGTTCTGGCCCAGGGCCCTCATCACGTCCCCACACTGGCTGTACAGGATCTTGCCATCTCCTGTTCGGTCAAACAGCTGGAAGGCCTCCTTGAACTCTGAGGATCCAGATAGACATCAGTACTGGGCACATGGGGGTTAACCAAACCCTCATGGTGTCTGTTGCCCATTCAACTTTAATCATGCTGAGGAAACCAGATATTTATTCCACTCTATACCCAAGTCCACTGAGAGGGACCCACTGCCAGTCTCTCCCACTTCAGGTGTCCCACAAAAAGACATGGCCTTTCTCCCCTCTAGGCATAGTAGCATCCATTTACACACCCCTTCCGCAGGCAACAGGCCTGCCCAGCCTCCTCACTACACTACTCAGGGCAGGAATTTGCCACCGCCCTGTCTGGGTCCTGTCCTTATAAGGAAGTGGGAGCAGCAGCCTAGGACTGGGGTCATCCCAGCCTGCCGCCTCTCCCGCTCAGTAAAAGTATCCTCTGCAAACTCTCCTGTCCCTGTTTTTACAAAATATCAGGTTATTGCTTTTTACAGTCTTCACAATTCCAAGCTGGGCCGGGGGCGGCGGCGGGGGGGGGGGGGGGGCGCAGGGCGCGGGCGCGGTTGTCAAGGAGGAGAATAGAGGCAAAAGAAGCTGATTAAGAGACAGAGACTTACAGGCAGCTTCAAACACCCCCCCCCCCCAAACCCCACACACAGCAGGCATTAGATGACCGAGTTGTTTCACACACCCACACCACCTAAAACTCACCCAGTGCTTGCTCAGATCTAGAGTGGAAGGGGAGAGAGGAAGAAAGAGTGAGAAAAGAAAATGGAGGCTCCAGAAGGAGGGAGGGAATCCAGGAGGTACTCCCCTGGTGGTGCTGAAGAGATGACAGGTTGGGGTTAGGGGGTAGGTGCTAAAGCGGGTGTCTCCTCTCCCTAAGCGTGACTTCAGTAGGGGTCAGTTACCAACCTGCGGTCTGGTCCTCGGTGAAGTCACACTGCTCAGAAAAGAGGGGAGCGGTCAACATCTGAACTCCAGTCCCCGAAGCTTCTATCCCAGTCCCACAAACTCCTCTTCCATGCAGGGTACTCGGTTCCCAGGAAGACAGGACCCCAGCTTTTCCAACCCCACCTTCAACCTTCCAGGCCCTCAGGTTCCCTTTGCTCCCTTCCTCAGCCTTCTCTTCGCCCCCTACCCTCGCCTCCCTCCTCTCGTCCCAAATCCCGCTCACCCTCCCAAAGCCCCGGGCCCCACCATCTTGACTGCGAAGCTCTGCGGGACCTTTTCCTGCAGTAATGGCTCCGGCTCGCAGCCCAACCCTAGTCTTAGTACGCCCGAATGACGTCACCCTCGGCTGATCCAGCCAATAGGATTCCTAGCCTGGGTTTATGCAGATAAATTGCTATATTAGTAATGAGATGGGCGGGGCCAGCTGCTGCTCATTTCTCCAGACTATCCTTACCTGGGCACAGAAACCCCACAAAGTGGGTGGAGTGGGGAAGGGCGCAAGGAATTTGCTCCTTCGGAGCAGCGGGAAGATCAGAGGAAAACGGATCGGGGAGAGGAGAGCCCTCTCTTCCCTCCATCCCACCCCCACCTATGAAGAAAGTAACAGTCGTAGGCCAAGGGAGGAACCGTCTCTTTATTTTGAAACAATAGGTGGCATCCTAGCAGCAGCAATGAGCTTCCGCCTGCAGGGGGCCCAATGTCCGACCCCACCGCATCTGTGGAAAAAGATGAAAAGTTGCCAAATCCCGGCGCTCACACGCTGCGGAACAGGAAAACACTCTTCCCTGCCTTTCCACCCTGGCGGAGACACCCGGAAGGAGACTTGTCTCTCAAGGCGAAGTGGGAAGGCCATACCTGTGGAGCTCAGACGCTTAGGATGTGCTTCAAGAAGGCTGCAGAGAGAGAAGGCAAGAGGGGTTTCAGAGGTAGGCCCTCGGATAAGCCATCTGACTTCAGATAATCCAGGCCCGCAGGGTGCCCACACCTACATTCCAGGGTCTTCCTGCCACCCCTCCTATCTGGTCCTTTCTGCTCCTGTGCCCCGCCCCCTCACCTTCATAGTTGATGCAGCCATTGCTGTCCTCATGTCCTGCTAGAACCGTCTCCACCTCCTCTTCAGTCATCTTCTCTCCTAAGCCCCAGACACAAGGTTTTAGCCCCTGCGTTCCTTCCCTCAGTCACTAGAGGAAGGGCCTGTGATCCAGGCCACACTATTCTGGGCGGTACCTCCTCTTCTCCCACCCTGGAGATTTGCCCATAGTCACAGAATCCCGAAGCAATGTTGTCCTTTTAATGGTAATGCCTTGAATGTGTTTCTGCACCTTGCTTTCTATTTCACCTGCATTAGTACCAGGTGAAAACTTTGACAATGAAACTAAATTCCAGAGTTAAGAGAAAGTATCCAATCAGAGTACCAGCCTCTCTTACAAAAACAGAAACTCAGGTTTTCCCACTTCATTCCCTTTCCTCTGCCCTTTGGTAAGCAATAGTGCCTCCCCACCCCCCACACACACCCTGCCCAGCCACTTTAGCCTCTGTAGGAGGAAGCCCTTCCAACTTTGCCCTGATGGTTCAGTCCCCTACCTGTGACCTACAGGACAGTAATCCCTCACTGACTCTTCCTACTTGGCAACCTTATCTTTGGTCCACCCTCTTCTCTCCACCCCACAGTCGCTCTGGTCTGTTCCTCACCCAGGGTGGTGAGGACATGTCTCAGCTCTGCTCCCATGACTTTGCCATTCCCTTCTTTGTCAAACACCCGAAGCCCTTCCAGGTAGTCCTCATATGTGCCTTGGTCCCGGTTCTTGGACACTGCCTGGAGCATGGGCAGGAAAGTCTCGAAGTCCACACGCCGGGACTTCAGCTCTGACAGGGGTTAGAGAGGTGACGGTCACTGTGGTGTCACCTAGGACCCAGCTCCCATCCCAACCACGAAGGCTTTCATCCTGTTCAACATCCAGGATGTTTTTCTGCCCTTGGGTTCAACAGTTTTTAAAGCCCTAACACCCACCCCAGCATCCTTTGTCACCTACCCAATATTCCTCGGTTCCACCACCAAACTGAAAACCCACATTGTTCCAGTGGCCTTCTCACCATCACTCTTGGGGTTCCCCAGAACCTTGAGCACCTCGGCGTTGGTGGGGTTCTGGCCCAGGGCCCTCATCAGGTCCCCACACTGGCTATATTGGATCTTGCCATCCCCTACTCGGTCAAACAGCTCAAAGGCCTCCTTGAACTCTGAAGTATAAAGAGGTGTTAGTGTTGACCAGGGTTTCCTATCAACCCCCACCCCACCCCACCCCAGCCCAGAGAGAAAGGAAGTTCAGAAATTATGTGCTAGAGCTGGGCAGAACAAGGGACAGGGAGAACTAGTGTGGGAGGTTTCAAGGTGGAGACTGGAGTTGGGGGAATAGAAAGAATATGACCAGGGACTTGGGTCTGGACAGTGGGCTCAGGGGGACCAACTTCTCCTCACCTTCCAGCTGGTCCTTGTTAAACTCGATCTGTGGAAGAAAAGAGCAGGTGAGGAGTAATGACAGAGCTCAGTCAATCCCTCTATAGCACTCCTCCCCACCAACAGCCACTTCTGGGGAGGGGCCCAAAGGGACCAGGCTGGGAGCCCAGCCGCCTCAGACCCATTCCCAGATCTGGTCCTTGGGAGAATCCCAAGAGGAGGAATTATCAGGGGGGAGGGTTTTCTGGGAACCGGGTTAATCCCATGCCACCTGTTCCCCTCCCTCCACTGCCCTGAGCCCTGCATCCCTCACATAACTGGGGGCTGAACAAAGGCTAAATTTACCCCTGGCCCCCAGCTGTGATTGTCTAACAAGCCTGTCCTCTTCAGCCTTCCCTCCTGGGGTTCAGAGATGTGGCCTTTAGAGTTGAACACTCAGCCAGACACAGGCAGCAACTCCCTGCCTTCACTTTGAAACTGTCCTGGGAACCCAGATGTTCTCCATCTCACAGTCCCTTCCTCCAACCGGAGGATCAGTGAGTGTGTGTGTACACATATACACACGTGTGTTACAGGTTAGAGGACAGAACAACAAAGATACTAACAGAGTCATAAGCCTGGATGCTTCCAAATGAGGAACCTAGTATCATTCCATTGCTCACTGATTCCTACCTTCTAGATACCTCCTAATTCCCTAGAATGTATCCTTCCCTTCTACCGCCCCCTCCAAATTCTTTCTTCACTTTCTGGGAACTCACCACCACTTTAGAGAGATCAATGGAGGGCTGAGTTTTCTCAGGGGCTGGAGGGACAGCTGCCGCTGGCTCAGCCTTGGTCTTGGCTGGAGGAGCCCCCACTGCTGGCTTCGTAGCTGGCTTGGGGATAGCGGGCCCCACTGGTTTCTTCACAGGAACATCTTTCTTGGGAGGCATGATGTCCGGTGGCCAAAGGACAGTGTGCCGATGGGGGCACCCATCTCTGTTTAAATAGCCAGGGAGTCTGGGATGTCAAGGGGCGGGGGCAGAGGCAGGGAGCCAGTTGGCGGTGGGGAGGGTGAGTAGAGGAGAGATATGCAGCCTGCTCACTCCCCTGGCCTCCTAAGGTTCAGGACTCTTGCCCCAAGGTCTTCTCCTTTCTGCCTACCCCAACCCAAAGGTTGGCCAGAACAAAGGACCCTTTGGGGGCAAAGAAAGGAAGCCAGAGCCTGCTCAGAGGGGAATTAACCTCAGGAGTGAGGACAGGATGATTTTTAGTGACACTGAGAGAAGGGTGAGGCACAGATAGGGACCCAGGCATTCCGGGCCCTCAAAGCCCTGACTCAAAGCAGCCCCCTTTTCAAGCAGCTTTAGACTCTTGAAGGCCAAGACAGGGAGGGGGGCCTTGTGAACTGGAATAGTTAAAGTGGGGTCTGAGAGCAGTGAAAGGCAAAAATATCAAGCATCCTCTCCACTCCCTCTGACCTTGGGTGACCAGCGGGGGTGGCTGACAGTACAGCCTAATAATCCCCCATGCTGGCAGTCACTGTCCTCCTCCTTCCCAGCCTAGGACTGCAACTGTGCACAATATACAGAAAAGGATAGAAATATAACAAGGAGTGTGACACCCCCACCCCCACCTCGAATTGTCTCCTGTGCCACAATGTTTTAAGAGTGGGGGTGGGGCAAAGACCAGTTGGACACCATTACCCGTACTCCCAAAGAAGAAACCGTTTCCCACAAGCCCTTAGTCGCTCAAGGCAGACAAATGTAGGGTGCCTGCTGAATTTGCAGGGAGTCCGTGATGGCACCTGAGGGGAAGGGTAGGCTCTAAGACAAAGGGCCTGACTTGTAATATCTCTACCAAAAGGATGTGGGAGGTCCTATGGTCTCCACGTGTATTCCCCCAACTAGAACGATAATAAAAATCCTGACTCAGGCTCCAGGTTACGAACCTTGCAGGGGAAGGGTAGGAAGTCGTAAGTATTAGAGAGAGGGGAGGGACTGCTGGCTACTTTTATTCTGGGGATAAAGGAGAGGATCTAGGTGGCATTCTGAGGAAGACAGTGATTCCACTTAGGCCCTGCGGTTCAGGTAGTAGATGCTCGGTCTCTCGCTCGGAAAATAAAGCGTCTGAATCTCATTATCCAAATTGTGTCCCATTTTTTGAAAACCAGAATAATTTCTTAGGAGCACATCACACACGCACACACGCACACACACGACTTAAATAGAGAGGATAGTCCCTTCCCAGCTCCACAAAACTCACCCTGCAGGATCCAGGTAAGAGACGGAGGCGGGGCGCAGGACGGCCGCGGGCCCTGGGGGGTTAATTGCGGCAGCCTCGGAGCATGCTGGGAGTCGTAGTCCTCGCGCGCCGGAAAGCTGCTTTCTGGCTGGAAGGGGACGTTGGGGCGGTTACTTCCCGCCGGTGGTGGCGGTTGGTGGCTCTGGTTCTCTCAGGCACGATTCTTGGAATCGAAAGGCAGTGACCAATTTACAGTTCCCACCTCTGACCCTAACACCGCGTGGGACCCAGCCGATATCCCCCGAGCTAGCCCGAGTTCCCCGGTTCACGGGAGCGGGGATGAGAGAACTCGGAATCAAGAGAAAGACGGAAGCTGTAGCAGCAGCAGGCCGATTAGAGGTCAGCTTGTAGGAAGCACTTACTGTTCGAGGAGAGGGGCGCTGTCACTCTAGGTTCTGCTTGCAGTTTGGTAGAGACAAAACAAAGGCCACTGAGTTGCTGTGTAACCAACGTTTTGGGTTTGTTTTTTTTTTTTCCTCACCCGAGGATATATCTATCGATTTGAGAGAGAGAGAGAGAGAAACCAACTTTTCTCGCACTCGCGCCCTGCCCGGGGATGAACCCACCTGTACCAAATCATCTTTTAAATTTTATTTTTATTTTTATGGGTGCCTCTCGCGCGCCCCCTTCTGGGGACCTGGCCCACAACCCAGGCATGAGTCCGGACTGGGAATCAAACCCTTTGGTTCTCAGGCCAGCACAATCCACTAAACCACACCAGCCAGGGCTTGTTTCGTTTTCTTTTTTAATGAGGTAGTAGTTGAAATAAATGTTAAGATTTGGAATTAAGCCTGTTACCTAACCAGTCGCACCCAGTTGACGTTTCTACAGCAGCCACATATGTGCCAGCCCACCTGACTAGACGTCACTAATCTCCTTGAACTGAAGATTAGCCTTTGCAGGCCTTTGCTCTGAGACACCTCTGCCTAGCCTTAGCTCAAACCCCCTGACGGTTACCAAAAGTCTTCTCCGAGCTGGAAGGGAGCCGGCCATGTTATGCCCACCTTCACTGGCTCAGTCAGTTCCCCACCAAGCATGTCCTGCTGGAGGCTGGGGCTACATGGTCATGCGGGTCAGGGGGTCATGGTCAGGAAGGAGAGGCATAAGTTAACTTTATGAGCAGTGAGTGACATTTGTTAGTTGGAGAAAGCTTCTCAGAAGACTAGTAATGGGCTGTATTATAACAGGGATAAGGAGGGTGAGGAGTCAGCAACCATTCCCGGGGGGCCCCACAAAGTACAATAGGTAGTGCCTGAGGGGCTAAATTATCTCAGAGAGACAGCATGGGCATACTAAAGAGTATGGGCTCAGATCAGCATATCTAGATTTGAATCCAGATTCTGTCAGGTATTTGCTGGGCACGTCTAGCAACTTTAGTGCTCAGTACCCCATCTGTGAAATCAGGATGATAGTACCTATCTCAGTGGGCTGTGGGGAGGATTAGATGAATTAATATTTGTAAAACAGTATGGGCCTGGGACAGAGTAAGTGGTATATAAATGTCTGTTAAATAGATTTCCTTTAATCTTCCCAACATATGAAGTAGCTGGTATTTCCTCCATTTTATATCCGTAGAGGATCACTAGTCACAGACAGATAGAGAGCAAGAAGGAACATGTTTCCCATGAATGTTTGGTCGTAAGACTGGGCAAAGGGCATGGCACAGATGCCTTTTTGTCTTCCATCACTTCCTCAGAGGCTGATTTCAAACATGTGGTTTATCTGATTTTCTCTTCCTTTCCTCAATCTAGAGCCCTCTTTTGGCACTTTGCCAAGGAGAAGCGGTTATGGCATCATTCAACTTTCTAGTTTTTTTGTCTTTTTTATAGAGAAGTAGTGCAAGAAAGAAGACATGAAGACGCTTGGCAAATACGAGTTGGGGGGGTAGCCTTCATTTTCTGTACTATCCCTGTCAATCATAAATAAAGCAAACTGAACTGCACATGATTTTAACTGGCACAGGTGATTCATACATCTTGTATGTGGATTTTCTTTTTTGTTTTCTTGCATGTGGATTTTCTGTGACAAATGCCTATCTCTCCTCTCCTTCCTCTCTGCCTGGCATGTAACTTGTATATTCTTAGGCATTGTATATTTTATTCTACTATTAGTCTTAATATAAAATGATTACGAAGGGCATATATCTAAAAGAAAAAAAAGGACTATATGTAAAAAACCCAATAGAACAATTTCTGGAATTACACAGCACTGAAAAATTGGGGATTGACCCTATACAATTTCACTAGTCCTTTAAACACTAGCTAATGTGTTAATATGAATAATAGTTTAGGTAGAGAGAACATTATTTCCTAAGTAAATAGGAGTTTATTAGGAAAGATGTCTACAGTCCTCTGGCATTTTGACCAGAAAGTGGTACTGATGGTAACACATAATAGAGAGCAGAGGGAGGATGATGAGGATGCTTTATGATACACGGGTAATTTATAAAGTCCTTTCAAAGTCTTGTTTCCATAGGCCTGTACTAGATGCATGATATAAATAGAAAATAAATGTTATTGTACATAATGCTAGTTTCATTTTGTAATGTTCTAAATCAGTGGTTCACAGACTTAGCTGCTTTTCAGAATCTCTTGGGAGCTTTGTAATAGACAAACTTCCAGACTGCCCCCAAAAGATTCTAACTCTAGATCTGTATTAGGGCCTGGGAATCTATTTGAAATATTTTTAGCCCAATGGAAAGCACACAGAATAAACTAGCAAACGTAGGTAACTACAGCTTTAATAAAAGGAGTGATATTTTCAAAATGTGCATTTGATGCTTCCATGTTTTTTGATGAAGACTAGATCCTGCCCTGGCTGGTGTGGCTCAGTTGCTGGAATGTCGTCTCATAGACCTGAAGCTTCCATTCCCAGTCAGGGTGTTTACCCAGGTTGCAGGTCCAATCCACAGTCAGGGCACATACAGGAGGCAACCAAGTGATGCTTCTCTCTCACATCAATATTTCTGTCACTCTTTCTCTCCCTTCCCCTCTCTCTAAAAGGAAAGAAAAACATGTCCTCGGGTGAGGATTAAAGACAAAAATTAACAAACAGACTAAATACTTAACGTTAATCCACAAAAGCCAGTAGAGTTTCAAACACTTCAAATAGTACCAACCACACTATTAGCTTTCAGATCTTCAGAGGTGTCCTATTTCTCTTCACTCACGTTGTTGCCTCTGTCTTTTATGTCTCTGCTCCCTCTGCCCACCAACACACACTGCTTCTAGGGCCAGTCAGAGCACAGTGCTTGGCACATACTGGGCACTCATATCTGTAGAATTAATGGTTATCTGAGTAAAAGGGGAGAGTCCAGGGTGAACACTCATACTAATCAGTCAATAGGGAGGTAGGCTGGAGATTTAAGAGGTTGAGAGTGTTCCCATGTATCAAACTCCTACTTTTGCCCTGAAGTAGAAGGTAAGGTGATTGATTTGCTAAGAGAGGAAGTAGGAGGAGGTGACTTGAGAAAGTAGTAAGGATTTGAAGTAGGGTCTGTGAAAGAGAGGAGACAGCTTACTGGGGACCCATTCACAAATATTCATTTAATATTTACCAAGTGCCTACTCTGTGGATGGAGGCAGTGGGAGATCATTAATTTGTAATGGTGCCCATTTGTAAAGGTAGTGATTTCCTTCTTCCAGCTGCTTAAATGACTAGCTGGAGAAAAGCAGCAGCTGGAGTGGAAATGGGCTGGAGTTTTTTGGAATGGAGGTGGTGGATGAGCATGGGAGTGAGGGAACTCAGAGAGTGAGTAAGAGCGTTTTGGGGCCACAATGAATAGAGAAGGAGCGAGTGTAGCAGTGGCCCGTTAAATTGAGAGAATATGGAAAGTCACTAAAAGCTGGAGTTTCAGTGAGGTTGAGGAAGAAGTGCAATGGCTGGAGATAAAAGTTGTAGTTGCAGACAACAGTGCATTTGAGATTAGTATTTCAAAGGGTATAAAAGAACGCAGGAACTAGGATAAGTGGCTATGGAGTGAATGGCTGAAAGGGTAGTGAGGCAAAGATCATTGAATTCGAGAATGCCCCTCAGGGTTCTGTCAATTGCAAATAGCAAAACTCTGACTAAAACTGGCTAAACAGTAAAGATTTACTAGTTTATGTAACTGAAAATTCAAGAGGTCACATGGGTTTTAGGTTCATTCTGGTCCAAAAGTACAGGACATAACAAAAGGGATCTGTTCTCTAATTCTCTTGCCACTGTTTCCCATGTTAGCTTCTTCCCTGGGTCTCCTCCTGGAGCCAGATATGGCTTAGCTGCCTAGCTATGACATCCTTATACTACAAGAGGAAGTGAATAAGTGAGTTTCTCTTGACTGCTGGAATCAATTCCCAGACTTCACTTTGACTAGACCAACTTAGAAAAATGCCTGTCCACCCTGGAACCTTATAATCACTCTGGCCAGGGATGTATCATGTCCTGAATGGCTTACCCACCCTTGTGGCCACTCAGAGGATGTCTGTGCCCCTGGAGGTGGACTGAAGTCCATCCAAATGGGAAGGAAACCAACAATGTCCACCACAGTGAAGAACTGTGATGCTAGTTATTGAGTGACCTACAATGTACACTGAAGATGCCAGGATGGTAGCAGTATGTAGGATGCCATGCCATTTGGCAATATTTTTAAAAATTCTTATTTATTGCTTTTAGAAAGAGAGAGGAAGGGACAGGGAAAGAAACATCAATTTGCTGTTCCACTTCGTTATGTACTCATTGGTTGATTCTTGTATGTGCCCTGGCCAGGGACCAAACCCGCAGCCTCCCTCAGCACATCAGGATGATGCTCCAGCCACCTGGGCTGCCCAGCGAGCGCCTCCCTTCAGCACTATTGAGTAATATTTAGTGATCACAAAGTTGAAAGAAAATAAAGGGAGTTTATCAGATTGGCATTATCTCTTAAGGAGCTGAAATTTTTACTGCTCTGAGAATAACAATAGGGAAGCAGCATTGGGGTGCAAGGAGAATGCAAACCCCACCTCCTGGTGTAAGTAGATGGGGTTCAGGAGAAGGAATCTTCCCCTGGAGGGAGTCCCAGGTGAATGAAGTCTCTTGGGAGGTGAGCAAGATTTTAGAGGAGGCCAGAGGGAGCTTCGTGTAAACAAAGGCAACGAGTGATAAAGAGTAGAGAGTGGGAAGTGTTACGTGGAACTAGCTTTACAGGGAGGGGAGCACACTGGAAAGATCTGAGATGAGAGGAGCGGAGGAGGTAGTTATCAAAACCCTTCTGCTACTTTCTTTGCTCTCTTTTATATATCACCTATCTATCTATCTAGATACCTATCATCTTCACCCAAGAGAG